GCAGAAAGTTGCATTTTCATATTCTACAAACAACAAAACGCCAAGAAAACACGGAATAAGACGTTCATTAAAATGGTCTGAAGGAATATTTTTCTTACTTGTTAGGGAAACAACACATACGTGGTTTCGAAACAAAGAGATAAATTAAGACAACAATTAAGAAAGAGGAAGATACTAAAGCTATTTCTGAGAAAATATGTAGTGTACGAGATTTAATAAATTCCCCTCATAATTACACTGACTTATTACTTATTGTATTTTCAAAGTTTAAATAAAAAAACACAAAATTGTACGCTCTATTGCTGTCATTTTTCTTACCAAAAAACTTTAAATGAAAAGTTGCTCACTACTGCAAACAAATAAACAAAATCTCCACTAAATGTCACGCCGCTTTCTTGTTCTACATATTATCAATATCTTCTAACGAAATACTACTAAAACATTACTACACATTGCTTACTTACTACACAAATAAAAAATAATCAAAAAAAAAGAAACAAAAAAAATGTGTTTTAACTATTTCGCAATATTTTTTTTTTGTTTTACATAAATTAATCCGCATGCATTACGAATTAGGGTCACGGTTTACATGAGTAATTTTTAACATTTACCGGCTTATCCTGATACAAAGTGATAGGTCTGTATTATGCGAACATTTACATAAAACCAGCCGAACAAACATACCTATTTAATTTAAAATGTAAATAAAAACATGTTCCTCTTTTAAACAATAACTGCGTTCTATTATTACTTCAGCAGAATGTTTACTGCAATACATACCGCAAAAATCCAATAAACCACCATAACTGCCAGCAGGCAAAGTTAAATTTACTAAATTACCATTACAGTGAATACTTTCGAAAATTGTATCTACCAACTCCTCAATCGACCAATACGACCCGACACAAATTAACTTTATGTTTACCTACCCTTACGTAAAATGTTATTAACCGTAATAGGATCCAGAATTTAATCAATTCATTAAATCACGGGAAACATGTCAGGTTTCAACTTGGGCCGCAAACTCTTTTAGTGAGAAATTTTAATTTGGATGGCTGTAACTAAATATAAGATTTTGCTGTTTGGATAATGTTTCCAAAATGTGCTCAGCTTGTGAGGTTGCGATGCAGTCGAAGTTGAATGACAGTTCTGTATAAAACTCGTAATTTTTAATTCATATAGGTATGTATATTTAAAAAAATTGTTTAAGGTATTAACAGAAATTCCCTCGCCCCTCGAAAAACTGTAAAAGTATGGTTTTGTGATTTTTTATGATAACCGGCGTAAGTTAAAACAAAAATATGTGACTGTAAAGTGCCGGTAATGAATCATGCTATGCGCATGTTTCAAGTGAGTTTGTTTTTCAATGACGATATTTTGTGATGATATCATCAAGGACACGTGTATGAATTTGAAAAGGTAATAATAACAGTACTGTAGCCTCAAATTTTCGGGAAAATAGGATAACTTGAACAAAAAAATAAAATTCTTAATTCATTAATTTTTGAGTTGCCCTGAATAAACGATTCAAAATTAAAAGTACTGTCCTCAGAATTTACACTTTCGATAACAAAAATTAAAAATGTTTTTTTGAGTTTCCGTCTGTCTGTGTCAATTTTTATTAGACAAATAAGTCCCACAGTACTGAACAGATTGTTGTCAAATTTTATACGTATGTTGTGTGTAAATGGTAAAACGCTAGACCAAAATTTGGCTAATTATCCCCACTAACAATTTAATGATTAATATTTTGCCATATTTTCTTAATATACGTAGTCATCTTTTCACAACAAGAAACTTAAAACATGTTTAAAATGATCAGTTTTGTAGAGCAATATGGATTTTGCAATTACGCTCCGCCCCTCGGCCTGACAACAAATGAAAACTTCATCACTATTGAGGTCGGGGCAGGTATGGGTAGGGCTTAATGTCGTAATGATTTTTTCATTCATTGTCAGACCGAGGGGCGAAGCGCAACAGCAAAGTCTATATTTCCCTACAAAAATTTACCATTTTAAACATGTTTTAAGTTTTTGTTGTCAAAAGATTACAAAGTATATTAAGATAAATGCACAAATTATGAGCCCCACCCGCCCGCCCTATCTCAATTGTGATGACTTCTTTTTTATTCGTCGTGCGCCAAGAGGGCGGAGCTTAATTGCAAAATCCTTATTTCTCTACAAGAAATTATCGTGTAAGACATGTTTTTGAGTATTGTGTTGTTCAAAGAATACTACGCATATCAAGCAAAAATTAAAGCCAGATTGGGATCGAGACAGATGGGTGGGGCTTATATTTTGGCTTTCTTTTTTACTTAATATGTACATACAGTTTGCTTTCAACAACAAGAACATGTTTCACATAGCAATATCTCGTAAAAAATAAGGATTTTGTACTTAAGCTCCGCCCCGGCTTACGACGAGTCAAAGAAAATCATCACAATTGAGATGGGGCGGGTGGGCGGGGCTTATAAGTTGCCCTTTTTTCTTAACATACGTAGTCATCTTTTCGCAACAAGAAACTTAAAACATGTTTAAAATAGTAATTTTTGTAGAGAAATATGGATTTTGCAATTACGCTCCGCCCCTCGGTCTGACAATGAATGAAAACTTCATCATAACGTCGCCTTAAAATTCGTTTAGTAAATGCCACTTAAATTTTATTAAATAACACTCCTTTACTTGTGATTTATGAATCTGCCTCGATTTTATACCCTGGACATCAAGTTTGTAGCAAAAAAATTAACGCCGAAGTGGCTGGTTCGATTGACTCACGGGCACGGTTGTAGAATAGATAGGTTGATACACTAGCATACATTTGCATATCCCTGGTTAGCGACGCCAATTGTCGATCGCGTCGCCTGGTTTTTGACGTTTTAGGGACACAGAACTCTATAGGCATCTGTCTATAACCGATGTAATTAATAAAAGAAATCCTACTTATCGACTCCGATCAAATGTCATTTACAAATTTTGTATTGTTCATAAAGCAATGTAAACGAAAATCCCCAAAATAACTAGAATGATTTCCGCTCGACAAGGTAGAGGCGCTAGCTGTATGTGTCCTTTCCATGGATATAGGGATCGAAAAGAAGCGTCGCCATCCCAAGCCATTAGTGTACAAACCTATCTATTCTACAACCGTGCTCACGGGTCACAATTTTTAACATCCCAGCATAAGTTAAGGAAGTATTGGAATGGTTACTCTCATATTTTCTTGGCCCCTAGAGTTTGTGTCGATTTTGATTAGACATAGAGAATCTCCAAAACTACCAGACCGATTGTCGAATTTTATATGGATGTATTTTTATCACAATAACTTTTTTTGTATAATACCGGTGTCCGGAAAATAGCGGATTAACTCAGTACATTATGTACGGGGGTTTCGAGAGTCCAAAAAAATAATAAAAAAATTCTGTATGATGTAGATTACGAGAAAAACATAATTTTATAAAAGTAAAATTGGCAACACTGCACCACCTAATCCGTAAAAACCTCCTTTCTAATTTGTTAGTAACGATGGTGACTGAAATCCACCATTTATTTTTTTTAGGACAATAACTGTAACAATCAGTAGTGATTAATTGTGCATTATTATTAACAAAACAAGCTGTTATTTTTCATTAATAAATAAACCAATAGAACATTTATAAATTATAAACAAAATAACAAAAGAAAAATCCATTAAAGCATAACCAACTAAACACTAGAGATGTTCAAAATTCCTGTCGTGTGCATATAAGTAAGCTTGTAATGTTTCCAAATTTTGGTCATTTTTTGTAGTTAGTCATCAGTACTTGCTAAGATAAAACTGGGAAATAACATACCCTCTAAGAAAAGAGAGGGTGGGCGGGCGGGGCTAGTAGCTGCTAAAACAAGACTGATTTTGGCAAATGAGATACCCTCTAAGAAAATTGAGGGTGGGTGGGCGGGGCTAGTACCTGCTAAAATGAGACCGATTTTGGCAAATGACACATACCCTCTAAGAAAAGAGACGGCGGGTGGGTGCGGCTAAAACCGGTTAAGACTGTTTTGACAAATGACATATTCTCTAAGAAAATAGAGGGCAGGCGGATGGAGCTAGTACCTGCTAAGATAAGACTTATTTTGGCAAATGACATACCCTCCAAGAAAAAAGAAGGTGGGTGGGCGAGGCTAGAATTTGTTAAGACTGATTTTGACAAATGACATTCACTAAGAAAATAGAGGGCGGGCGGGCGGTTGGGGCTAGTACCTGCTAAGATAAGACTGATTTTAGCAAAAAAAGTCCCCCAAAACTATTTTAAATAACTTACAAAAAAAAATCCTCATGGGTTCCCAAAATTATACACCATGGATACCCAAACACTGTGGCACTCAAGACTTTTTCGTAAAAAGTAAAACATTAAAAGCTCAAAAAAATTTTCAAATTCATCCAGCAAGAAAACTATAATACAAAACACCAGATTCCTTCAAATTTATCCGAAAATAAAACACTAGGGGACCTAAAATGAACTGCGAGGGTTTTGAAAACTTTAACAATTTTTGATACGTCAAACATTTTCAACTGCTTACTCGATTTTCGCTGATTTGTACCTTCGCTTTATATCAGACAAACATTGTTGTTAAATGGAATTTTATCAAATTATTACAGAAACAACACAACCATATCTTTATACATTCTGACTGAAATGGTAGTTAAACATTTTCCAGACACCCGGTATATGCGTCAAATGCTTCGTAGTCGAGTGGGATTGATGATTGACGTGCTCTGTCCCGTTTGGGTTCGAATCTTACTGAGTGTTTTTTTTTTGTCACTGTGACTTGTTTTATCTATATCAGTACTCATATTTTTTTACTTCTAGGGGTTGTCATAAAATAATTAAAATTTTAATTTGTTCGATTATTATGTTTGAAGGGTAATGGAAGTTCCGTCTAAATAACCTTAGACCAATTTTTTTATTGAAAAAAATCAAGAACGATTCGCCTCACAGAAAAATAATTATCATAACAGTTACTTACCCAAAATAATGCTCAGAACGTTTTGCTCCATTGTAGGTTAATTAACAACAAGTCTCTTCCTTTGTTTTGATGGGACAGCTTGTTTATCATCGCATTCTTTCGATGTATAAACATAAACAATCGAAGTTAAGTCCGTACAGATATTTTTTTCCCGTTGGATATCGGCTCTAAAAATATCTCACATTATAGCATACTTTTTTACAATCCATTGATTTTAACGTATAGTATGTAGTTGGCATAAAAAAAATTATAAAATTCGCAAAATTATTTTTTTTTATTTGGGTCGAAGTTGTATTTTTTCAAATGTGCTTCAGTGAAGAAGGGAAGTTCTGTCTAAATAACTTTAAGCCAATTTTTTCACATAGAAGAAAGAATAATTTTAATACGTAAAAATCATAAGTTTAATAATGAAAACAATAAAAGATTTACGACGCCGAACATACATCAAATGATCACTTGTAAACCTCTAGTGTTCTAAAAAAAATCATAAAAATCAAGTCTTATTGTACTGCTGTCAAATTACTATCTATTATTATCATCATCTAGAAAATTCGATTATTTCTAATATCAGAATATAACTGATGAACAGTAGATTTATTTAAAAAACATAAAATAATTTGATAATTAAACAGATAATTTGTTATCGGCTTAAAAAAAGTTATTTTAATACAAAAATTAATAATAATATTAATACAGTGTATGAGTTTGCTTATTACAAAGCATACTTATTCTAAATCAGAATGTTATGGCTTGGCACCACATCTGAACAAAAGTTTTTCAAATATTCACTTTAAAGTAACAGAGTGTAACCTATAATTTGCCAAATTGCTAACACAAAAATAATAACGTAAATTACCGTCGAGTACAGATCAATACAACTTTAATAATATATAAATATATTCTCCATTCCAACATTTTTGTAATCTTTGTATAAACACAGCACTTTCCGGAATCCAATAAAATAAACAAATACAAAATATTTACTTAATTAAACATTGGAATATTAAGAAGAATGACGCCATAATTCTCCTTAAAGCCATTTTCTTTTTACAAAATTTATTCGAACATTAAATCACGCAAGAAAAATTCGCACTCACGAACTTGTTTTTCGCTTATTTTTCCACGAAGCCCCATAACACGTCCTTGACAAAGCTCGAATACGTCAATTCGATACAATATTTATTTGAACCCACCTCATACACTAATCACTTGAAATCACTGCTTGTACTCCCAGAGGCTGGTCCGACGCTTCCGTCGCGGCGCTCTAAACATATGACTCACTATTCTAGATTGTTAAACACCGTCCCCGTTTATCATGAGTAAGAATAGTGTTTAAATAAAATGAATAAACCAACACTCACCAAAAGTGAATTTTGGCGTACGAACGTGTGGTACGTTAGTCCACAGTTTATTATTTTAGACGGACGATTAACATCTGTGATATTTCAGATTACGAGGCATTAAAGATTCTTGGTCATTGCCGAAATGCGTAACATATTTTGAACTTGTATAACCAGGAGATTGGAGAATAGACGGCGCTTGAAGATGGTACATTGACATGGTGTTTTTCACCGGAGCATAAAACATTAATTAAAAACTAACCGGTTAACCATGTGTACGTGTTCCCTGACAAAATGAGACTGTAGCTGAATTTAAAATAAGACGTTCTAACACAAAATGCCAAAAATGAATTATAATTCCCGCAATAAACTATAGCTTAATTGTCTTTGTTTACAAACTTGTTTCTCTGGTTTCTTATGTATTATGCGTACTTCTGCTTAGCCCACGTGTTTTGCATTATACAAAACGAAATGTAGTAGAGAAACATAAATAATTTATTAGTTATTAAGCAAACTATTAAAATGTTATTGGATGTGTAGGCTTGAAAATAAGCATTACGTACAACGGGAACAACAACAACAATAACACACTGTACGTTAAATCGCCGACTTTCCCACATACTGTCGATATTCCGCAGCGATTGAGTAATATTTTTAAAAAATGTAGCACAAATTGCAACAATCTTGCTCAGCTGTCAACTGTGACAACAAATTATGCCGGTTGCTAAGTAGCTCAACATGAGTAAAAATTTTCACTTTGCCCCCTTCCGGGGGCTCGAAAATAGTCTTCTAAATGTTTAATATTCCCAGAAAACACAAACAAAAATATCATGTGGCGGTTTATAAATTAGAGTGGGCGGGTGGTCTTACAGAAACGTAAAAGTGTAAAAAACGATTAACAACAATCCTACCTGTGCGTGATGATGCCCTTCATGGTAAATAATAACAAATTAATGTCCGAATACGCAAATTCACTCAACATTAATTTGATATTAATTTTATTTTGCACTCAAAGTACTCAACAACAAATCATATGTCACTACAACTAAATCACTAGTCGCCATTACAAGTTTGACATGCAGGGCGGCCACCAGCAAAACGACAAACTCACTAGTCTCACCACATTTATTACACAAAAATATAAAATTTAAACAATTAGTAAAGTAAAAGGGAAACAATATATTAAATAAGACGATCTGCTACAGATTAATAATTTCGCTAAGCTAACAAATAATTTAAATAAAATATAAATAAATACAATAAAATTAAAAATTTGATTGATTAGTCTACAATTCATCTATGATTGTTGTAGTGGATAATAGTGGGCCTTCACTTCGTCTATTGCTTTACACCACTCCAAAGCGTATCCTTCGGGGTCCTCTAGGTAGTAGATGCGATTTGGCTGAAACATTCCAATTAGAAAAAATCCCCAAGTCAAGATTCACTCACCGTGTGAACAAAAAACTTCTTGAAATTTCTAGGCTCACTTTTTAGATCTTCGCTCCACGGTATCTCGCCTTTAAGGGTCATAGTAACTGGATCTACGTAATATAAATGAGGCCCTAGTGTGAGCAATAGCATTCGCCGTCTGGGAAAAATCCCCTTCTTTTTTTCAATAATTCCTTGTTTAAGTATTAAATTACCCTCTACAAACTGATGATAAGTGTTACTTCTTTGTTGTTCCAGTCTCTCCGCAACTTCTTCTTTACTAAGATCGGTGATTTTTCTATTTGGTTCTGATTTTTTTCTAGTGGGTGGTTGTTGAGGTGATAGCATTTCGAAATGCAATCTAGAGGCTTTTTCTTCGTCTAAACCGGGTTCTAAATGGTCTGGTATGATCGACCCGTCGCTTTCGCTATCCTCTTTAGTGAAAAACTTCGGTGGAGGCCCCAAATCATCCCAGTTAACATCTTTGAAGAATTCGTGTTCTCGTATACTTTTGTACGGTGTCTCGTCAGTTGCCCCCAGCCTATTACTAGGAGTAATAACTAGAAATTTTTCGATTAAATCTTTAGCCACCTTGTGAAACCCCTGAGGAAAATCATAGTCGAGTTTCAGAATTTTCTGAAAAATTAGATATTCGCTAGCACCACGGAACGGCATTTGGCCAGTCAACATTTGATATATAATGCACCCGAGAGCCCACAAATCTGAAGCGCAGGTTGATTCGGCGTCGTTTAGAATTTCGGGACTGACGTATTGGGCAGTTCCTACAAAACTGTATTTACGTCTCTTTTGATTCTCTTCGTCGGAGGATTTATCTTCCCCTAGAATTTTAGCGCTGCCGAAGTCGGTAATCAGGATGTGCCAATTTTCATCAAATAATACATTTTCCGGTTTCAAATCCCTATGTACAATTCCTTTAAGATTCAGATATTCTAGAGCAAGAACTAATTCGGCAGAGTAATACTTGGTGCATTCCAGATTAAAGCTGGTGTCCTTGTTGATCTGCTGGAGCAATTCTCCATTTTTGGCGTATGTTAGTACAAAATATAAGCGATCGGTGTCTTGAAATGTATAATATAAATGGACAAAGTATTTACAGGAACTTCCTAAAATTTGTAGAACTTTTTTTTCTCTGTTCACGTACTCTGTCTTCTTCTCTCGAATTATGTGCCGCTTCTCCAGGACTTTGACTGAAATTATAGTGACACTTTAGTAATAGTCGACGAAAAATGAATGACTTACTTGCGAATTCTTTGTTCGTATGCACATCTTTGGCAAGATAAACCGTACTAAAACTGCCTTCTCCTATAACTTTGCCGAAGACGAAATCTGCTGGTGTTCGCTTCCTGACGACGTCTTCTCCTGGAGGAGGCATTTTCCCCCGACAGGTACAACTACAGAAATAAGAAAGCAGTTTGCCGCATTTCACTGTCGAGGTCATGCACGAACTAATTTAATTTTGCAAATTATTACATACCTGCAGTAAAACAGCTATAAAATGTGGGCTAGAACGTCATTCAACATACGTCACAATTGTGATTTCACTACCATTTTCAATGGACAATAACAGTTATGACGTTCATTTGTTTTGTAGGTTTAATGAACCTACGCCATTAAAAGAACAATAAAATTTAAGCCGCACTTTTAAGAATCGTACGTTTCCTGTAAGTACAACGGAAAATGTTTTTTTTTTATTATTATTGCACCGACCAAACACGGAATTTGACAGACAAACTAAACAACAAACAAAATAGGTACCTCCGTAACCGACTGAGGATTTGCCATTGATTTTGAGAGAGAGTGGGGGGAATTTCAAATTGTGGGGGGGATAGACGTCTGGCTGGTCCTTCAGGAATGGGCGCTCGAAGTAGTTTTCGACGCCGAGCGTCGCTGGTCTGTCAGAATGGCTGTAATGTTGATTAATGAATAGTGTTTCCTTATTTTGTATGGGTTGAACTTTAATAGCTTTAAAACAAGGACTAAAATGGAGGCCTTTAAAAATTTAACACAAAACAAAGTCATCAAAAATTTTTGTCGATAATTCTAATTTCTAGATTTCTGCATGAGTGGTATGTATAATAATATTTATTGTCCTTTCGTATTTTTATTGTTAGTTTTGTAAAGGATTTTACAAGGCGAAAAGAATTTCGCCCGAAAAGTTGCCGCTTCCGCTTTCTCGATAAAATAAACTTTTTTATGTCGCTTAACAAACGCTTAAGTTGCGAAATCTGTCGGGCAGAATTTAATAATTTACTCCTTTATAATAGAGACGATAAATTAATATTTTAGTCGATTTTGTACAATAATATATTCTGATAATTATTCAGGATGCAATTATTTTGTTTTTGCGAATTAACAAATGTCTGTTAAATTTATAATTGCATCTTGTATTTCACCGACTATTCATTCCACCTTAAATTAATATTAATCATTTCCTGTTAAAGACGACTAAGCAAACTGTGAACAGAGCCGAGGAATGATGATTTAAGCAGGACATAAATATACAATGTGCTGCCTTTATATTTTCCCCATTGTGGACGCACAAACCGTAAAAGATCGGTATAATATAAGTTAAATTATCTTGTGCGGAAACAGGGATAACAATTTGTATCATTTCCGAGTAATTAATATTAATAAATACCGACATTATCACATTTTTCAAGACTATATTTAGTAACATTCAAATTTTACACGCAATTGAGGAACTTTTTTATCTAAAGGGGACAATCTAGTAAGGCTAAATTTCAAATACTAGTTATGCCCGTAAATATATGTATAACTTTGGAAATATGGTACAACGCTAACCAAAATTTTTATGATCACATCCACCAACAATTTGAGGACGTTACCTCAAGATTTTGCATGGTAAATACTATTTAATTTTTATAAAGTAACATACTTCTGTATTTGTGATTTATGAAGCCATGTTGATTTTTTACCTTAGACTTCTAGATTTTCCCAAAAATGTCAAAACTGTATAACATTTTACAGTTTACCCCTCCAAAAACTTAATGGCGTCATCTCACAATTTTGCTGAATAAATTCTATCCAAAATAGTTGCATTCATGGACCGTATTCTAATAGCTACAAAGTAGAAAAACATTAATTTACAGACACATTCAGATCATATTTATTAGGTACATCATAATTCCGAAACAAGCGACGAAAAAAATTTAAATTTTCTTGAAATTTAGAAAAATAGTAAATTTGAACATTATGTTACTCATTTATTCAACTATACTCAGCTTCCATGTACTTTCTAAATAGATGGGTATTAAGAAAAATTTATTACTTTTTAAAAAGAAATCGAGATTCTAGAAGGACGATGGCAGTTTTTAAATATTTTTTTAACACAATAATCAGGAGAAATGTAATTCAAAAATAGCAAAACTCTAGATACATTATGTACTATTTTGTTTGCTCTCTATTCGGTAGATATTTCTAATAGGAATATATTTTTTTTATTTATGAAAAATTTTTGAAAATGTCTCTGTAAACTTCTCCAAGGGCGAAGCGCACGCGGTTTTATATAAACCATGCACTCAAATATTTAAAAAAAAAAAATGCCTAATCCTTTTAAAATGAGTGATACAAACGGCTGAAAATATAAAAAGTACCAAAATTGGGTACAATTTAAAAAATAACGTCGACATTATTTAAAGAATTCTCTCAAATTTGGCAATTTTGGTATCTTTTGCCAAAACAAACCATATAGCGTTCGTTTTTTAATGAAAATAAAATGTTTGCAATTTTTCTCGTTGTGTATGTGTATGAAAATGTCTAAATATTTATCACCTTAAGAATCAGTCAAAATTTTTCAAAATGTTTATGTTCACGACTGTCAGAGTGGTGCAGAACTCTCCCCTCCTTGATCTTGGTTAATAATCATAAAATGTAATAAATCATGTTTCCAGGATCAAGTCTTAATGCGTCTTTAAATATTTAATATAACATTAATTTTTAAAGTGTGCTCTAATGACTTGGCTTTGTAATGAATTTTTAAATGATTTTTTGTTTGAATAGGTTAACCTACTTAAAGGTTAAAAATTGCTTTCTCTTAAACCACATAATGATCCATGAAACTGTTCAAAACATAATAAATAACACATAATGCTCTCGTTTGTTGTTGTAGTTGTTGTTATTTTATAAGTAATATAATTGTCAGAAATATTGTTAATAATATAAACCCATCAAACAAAGTTCAAATCGTATATCTGAACAAAACGTTTTATTATTGGAATTAATGGACTTCAAACATAGCACACATTTTGATGTAAAACTTTGTACCGAATTAATATTATAAAATTCGCTAATTTATATTAAAAATAGCGTATTTTGCAAATTACAGGGTTAAAAAAAATACAGACATGAACACCCTTACATTCAAACAGTATTTTTTTTATTTGCAGTTGTTTTGATACGTATTATGCTTCTGACTCAATATTTAATCTATTTTCGCAAAATTAGAACAAGATTTGAGGTATTACATGTTTTTGTTGGTTGTTTTGGAAGGGACCATCCGTCTACAAACAATCAAACGGAAAATAGAACAAGAGAGACGGAAGATCTAACGCTATCGCATATGCTTAAAATATAAACCTACACTACGTAAGTTGTAATAGTAGAATTTCAAACAAACATCAGTCAAATCTTAAACAATAAATAGATCTAATTTTAGTCATAACTAAATTAATGTGTTGTGGGGGTTGGACCTTGGACCCTTTATTGTGTTACAGAAATTCTGGAAAACTAGTTCTTATGCTATAAAAATTTTCACTGTTAGCCAAGTTTTTTCAGAATGTTATTAAAATTTTCTTAAACACTGGAAATAGTAAACAACCAAGGAAAAAAGTGACAAAATGTTAATCGAAAACACATTTATCAAGAGCAAAAAACAACAATAATTTTGTGTTACTCAAATATGACAAACATATTTGTGTGAAGACGAGCACATTATTAAAAATATGTAATTATTCTTTTTTTACTCAAATACGTCTCGAAGGATTAGAAAATATTTTCGAAAATGTGGTAAGATGAAACTAAAAAGTTCGGGACTAATCCTCATGTATTTAAAGACCTTTTGCAAACCAACCGAATATTTTAAATCTGCAAAAAATTCAGTACTATTGTTTTAGACGTTTATGAACACTTTTAATAAAGCAATTCTTTTTTTTTTTTTGGAAATTAACATTCTCTAATATCCTCGCTTATTCGAAGATCTGCCACAAAACAGATACATTTTTAATGCAAAAGATGTAGTATTTGTTCGAGTTATCATGAAATGCATACCTATATTTTTGCCAACATTTTTTTTGGTGATCTTTTTTTATGTACCTCGGTTTAATGCCAGGATAAATAACAACATAAAAAATTCAAGGCGGATTTATAAACCACAAGTATAGGAGTAATTTAAGGTGACGTCTTCAAAGTGTTGATAGGGATGACTAGACAAATTTCGCTTAGCATTTTATTTTAGTCTACATATCATCTCTGACGTACGTATAAAATTTGATAACATTCGGTCCAATAGCTTCCCAGATTATCTGTGTAATGTATATCGACACAGACGACAGACAGGCGGAAACAGGACCCATTTTTTCGCACTCTAGGGGTTATGGAACGTCGAGAAAACATGAAAGCTTACGCTTGAGGAGTAAAAAACAAATGATAAGTATTTAAATATCAGTGACGTCAATTTTATAAAAGTTTGAATAACTTGTGGTTCTACGTTCAATCCAAAAAGGGTCAGACGAGGATTTCTGTTAGAATGAGATTCAACAATAATATATTCAATTCTCCTTCTGATCTCGCCAATACATTTGCAATATTTTCTCATCTACATACAGAATAATTTTGCTTCAATTGAATTTTCTCATTCCGATATTCCAATCTACGACATAAATACAAGTTACTGAAAATAACATCTTTGCTGCTTTAAGTCAAATTTATTTCTCCACAAATCGCAGTTTCATTCACAAGCGCTCTACAGTCACAAATATTGCTTCCATTTCATATAAGTTAGTGTAAAAGCGATCGATATTCAATTGCAGGTAAATGTTATACTATACATATTATACAAATTCTTTAAATTGTGGTAATAATGGGGACGGACAATAAGTGGCTCAATCGCAAGAGCCAATATGCCGGAGTTCACAATTTATAATTAATTGGTTACGATTATTTTTACTCGTATTAACTTAATATTATTCAGTTTTACTTCCCAACAGGCAGAAATGATGAAATTGCAACAAGGTCATTTTGTATGTCACAGCTAGTAGAATACAAAAATGTGGGTTTCTCCTCTATCGATATGTCTGTGTATTTCCAAACCAGTAGTACCCACTAACCAGAAATATTAAGTGTAACTTAAAAAAATATTTAATTAACTAAATACCTCAGAAGGGTTTTGTAGCCACATTATTTATTTCGAGGTGAAAAGTTACTGTATGCTACCCCACAAAGAGTTGAATAGAAAAGTACTTATATTAAAACTCATTCGTTTCATGCAAATTTGGTGAGCCCGCACTGGGAGTTCATTTAAAAATTCATGGTTTCAGTTAAATATACACGAAAATTCACCAAAACACTTTAAAGTTTAACACATTTTCGCAGTTAAATAGGTTTCCTTTGTGTGTTTGTGTTTTTTTCAACCAATGTCTCTCTGCAACATTTGGTATCCATTACCTCTTTCTGATTTAAAAAAAACACAAATATGAATTAAAGAAAAGCATGCTATTGTTTATTTTAACTTTAGACTAGAAGAATCTTAAACGTAATATTGCATTTTTGACGCTCAAAACCAGTAAGTGGTGAATAATATCGTTACTGTGTGAAATGTTAAAGCTGTTTCAGTGTGACACATTGCAACGGATATTCATTATTAATTACGAATACCGACAGTGATTTACATCCTCAAACATATATGGATACTGTCGAATCTAAAGCAAACCGTACATAAAACTAGCGGTGTAGTAAAACGTTTCTTTTACATTCAAAATGTTTACTACGTGCTCCGAAAATTAAAACTTTTGACCCAACGAATAGGAAAGGTACAATGAATAAGTGATAA